ACACGACGCTCTTCCGATCTAAGAGGAAAGGAAGGGAAGAAGCGGGAGGGCAGGAGAGGAGGTGGGAGGGAGCGGAGCTTGCGCGGTAAGGCTCAACCGGGGGCCCATGCGCACGCACCAAGAATCTCGACCATGTCATTGAGCAGCTTGGCCGCTGTCATCCTCAAATCCTCCTGCTCGTCGTCGTGCGCGAGCTGCAAGGCCAGGGTGAGAGCGCGCCGGCCCCGGTCTTCGGGCGCGAGGAGACTGCAGATGTGGCAAAGACTGGCGCCCGAGCTCTGCCTGACCTCGTCCTGGGAGTCATTCAGGAGTGTCTGGATTAGGGGAAGGATGCTCTCGATGATTCCCCGGTAGCCAGGCCCGTCCTCGCCCTCGGCTTCGCGGAGGCAGGCTGCCGCCACCCCGCCAAGCTGCTCCCCCAGGTGCTGCCGGATCACCCACTCATTGTCCATGCTCAGCGCCCGCAGCAGCGGGAAGAGATCGGTCTGGATTGACTCGTACGGGACGCTTTCCGCGGCCTCCGTCAGCATCTTCACGTGCACCAGACGCTGCAGGGCAATGGCGCTAGTCCCGTATTGGCGGACGCGGGCCAGGGCCCCCAGCGAGTCGTCGATGGATAGGTCCTCAAAGGTCGCTGTTTGGGGCTCCCCCTCCATGAAAAAGAACGACGTGCAGACGGTGTGTGTGGACAAGGCGTCGGGTCTCAGAGGTTGGCGTGCGCGCCCCGGGAGTGCGGCAACGTGGGGGGGATGGGCTGGCTATGTAATGCAAAGCAAGCCGCAATTCCTGGGAGCACCAGGCCTCTTGATTCCCACCCAGACAAGCCTTTGGCTTGTCTTTGAACGAGGCAGGCAGGCCCAAACCTGTCGTCCCTGTCCCGACAGGCGGCCTCGAGCCTCCCTGCCTGCCCAGCTCGATTGTTCCGACTTGGGGCCCCACACGCCTGACCAAGGCTTCGTCCGCCCGCACGTCCTATCCGCTGCCTCGAAGACAGAATCCAGTGTTTTCAGGCGCCTGATTTTGTGTTTACGATGTTTGATGGGTTTGTAGAGCATCAGTTGACATGTAAATTATCCTCTTAGCTAAGAAATGCCCGCGATGAAGCCTGCTCGCTGCGAGCAAGGCCGCGAGGTGCAATACAAGGAAACGGACCTCGAAAACCTCCCATTCCAGATTTCACGGCATGTAGCTTGCCAACGCCTACAAGGCGACAAAGGAGGGCACTGCGACAGGGGCAACATCATCATGTACTGTGGCTGTGTGTGTCGACGGGCTGAGGGCATTTCCTCCGGGACGGGGTTCAGAGGGGGAGGAAACGGATTGAGGCGAGGAGCAGCGGGGCTGGCTCAGGCGGCACCGAGACAAGAATACTAATTAAATGCGGAAACTGCGTCGAGGGCTCAGTGTCAGGTATCTGTGGAAGGTCTACTTTGCCACATTCAAGGCATTCGTAGGACTCTCATGACATTGGTGCTATTTTTCAAATTTTTCGTACCTTTTATTTTCTTAGTGAAGTGGACTTTGCCCAGCCAGTGACAATAATAGCATTTGTGTTCCATTGACTTTAGAAGAGAATGTTAAGCTTGAATTAAAGAGGAATTCAAACCACTTTTCGGATGGCGGATGTCCATTTGATTTCCAAATGAGAAATCACCGAGCAAACCACTGCTTTCACGGCGTACTTCATTTTGTGAGGTTACTTTCGATGCGCAATTTGCGAAAAAACAAGGCAATTCTCACACGTGGAAATCTATCAGCAAAACTGTACACGTGCTACATCC